CCCCCCTGAAGCATATATATATAATATATAATACAGAGAACTGTATGAAAAGTCTCCTAAACCATCAGGATAAATCATCTTCATCAGAATGTTTCACTGTTTATTGATCAGTGTATCTGCTGTTATTGATCAATATAAAATGGATCATCAGTTTACAACCTGCAGCGTCGCTCTCTCTCCTGAAACCGCCTCCGAACAGGACGTTAAAGAAAGCGTCCTGCACACCAACAGCCTCAGTAAACCGCGTGGAATCGGGACGCGCGGCGTTCGTCGTGACCTTTACACGCAGCCACGTCCTGGATACGCAACCATCCACAAACACGCCGTTTCTCACCAGATCCACGCCGATAAAACCACGTACGTTCGTCCAATAACAGCAGTCCCAGGCAACCTGCACCAATCAGACGCCTGCGTTCCTCACTCCTCTTTATGTACAGAAATAAACGTTTGTTTTACTACAACTGTCTTCCTTCAGTGCTGTACACACATATATCAAACCCCCTCTGTGTAAAAAAAAGCCTTAATGAGGTGCACACAGTGAGGAAGAGGCAGGCGTATCCATGGTTACAGATGCTGCATTTGAAAAGGACTTTACTACTGTCAATGGAAATCTTTCAAGTCAGGTAGCAGCGGCCTTTTGTTTCAACTTAAATGTTCTCAAGACTCCAGAAATGGAACAAACGTCAGAATTAAAACGCCGCGTTCGAGGAGAGAAATCCACCGACAACCATCTGCTGTAAAGGAATAAATACAGAACGCCCCCGAAAAACAATAAATGGAGCAGAAAAGGGGAAGAAAAACAACTTCTCTCCACCTGACAGGTCGGTAAAAAACCGGCGCTGTGATGCAACAGAGAGCAAGTGGAGCAGAGTGAAGAAGAATCAATGAATCCATTCTTCTTCAACGGCCCCAAAAACACGGCGATCAAGGATAAAAGCAGTCGATACAGACGTTATAGGAGAGAGACCTCGATGCTGAACGGGAATATATGGAGGAGGAGAGTGAAACTACTAAAAATAAACTAAAATACTGACAACAGCAGGCCGCTGTGGCCTAAAATGGCTCCGTTCTATCTAGAAATAAAGACATTTAAGGATTGTTTTGGCCTAAAATGTCTTTTTGTAATGAAACAACATGAGAAAGTGACATAATTCATTAAAAGATGACGGCAACTTGTTCCACTGCGACTTCCTGTTGGGCCTGCGATGTGTAAACTTACTACTGGTGTATGATTTGTGCACTAATTCACTTTTTTTAAAAGGATACTTCCATTCTCGCCTTCACCACTGAGGCATAACAGCCCGATATCATTAACATCATGATATAACATGATAACATCATTAAGCAGAAAATAGCAGAAAATAGCAGAAAACACACCGTCCATGACAGCAGAAGGAAGCTGTGGTGTAGTTTCACACACTGCCTTCAAACTGTGACCATGAAATGACCTCCGGGCTTTATTCCAGCCTCAGCCCTGCTAATAAACACTGCTGCAGTTATCTAATTATTTCTGCTTCCAAACTGATAAATACTCGCTCTCTCTCAAAGTTCACTTTATTTCTGAACACGGCAAATGTCGACTAAAGTGGGCCCGGTTTCAGCCGCCGTTATTGGATGTGTAATTTAAGGCTAATTTAAGAGAAGAGCGCAGGTCCGTGTGCGCGGAGGGAAGGTAAAAAGGTCACATTTTGCAGCTGTAAAATAAAGAAAAGGAGGAAAGAAACGAGCGTGGTGTGATTAAAAACATCGGCGTGCAGTGCTGACTGGGCTTTCTGTCTCTCTTCTCCCTGCCTCACCTCCCCTCCCCCCCCACGACAAACCAAAAACAGCATCAAAGCAATCAAAATGGTAATGTTAGGCATGAATGGGGCCCATCCCCCCCTCCTCCTCCTCCTCCTCCTCCTCCTGCACGAAACTCTGCAGACTTTTCTCCTCTCCATGTTAGAGGGGGAGAAACCGCCACCCCCCTTTCCTCTCTCAAAATGGAAGCTTCCACTACCAAACTGAAAGAAGAAGAAGGGGGGGAAAGAAAACACAAACAAGGCCACAACGAGGCAGAACTACATTTATTTATTTTACACACACACACAGCAAGTTCAATGGGTTTAAATGCAACAAATCAAGTGCTCACAAACTGCATTCCTGTGGAAATAGGATCGATTAAAGTCCAGCAGAGGGGGAAACAGGCCTCTGACAATTAAAATAAAACACAAGGCAGCGAGTGGTTGAATAAAAATCGACCTATTTTCTTTGATTTCAGCTTCTTGTTAATGTGGGGAAGTTGTGTGCGCTGCCGTCGGGGCTGGGACCGACCGGCGGGGCGGTGCAGCGAGCAGCAGCCGGAGGGAGCCGGGAGGAGCTGACCGCGGTGCTGAACAGCGGAGCTCCTCTCTCCCTCCTTCTCTCTCCTTTCTCCTCTACCTCCTTCTCTCTACGTGTGCGCGTCACGACAAGCTCGCTCTCATATATAGTTGTAACATTACGAGGAGGATATTTAATGTACTCTTTAGAGTAGTGCCAATCATTAAACTTATTAACAGATAGTCGGGGGGGTAAAAAAGTGAAAGCGTCAGCCGGTGAGCCAATCAAATGCCCCGCTGCCGTCACGTGACCGAGAAGAAATAACAGCAGCAGAAAGTATAAAGTAGCACCAACGGCTGTTTAACGGCGGTAAAAGACGGTAAAACGACGACTCCGGCTTCACATTAACGGCTCGTTACACCGACAAAACTTCCCGCCGCTCGGTGTTTACCGGGGAGGGCAGTTAGCTCCTTCATTAGCCTCAGCCGTTACTCTCCAGAAACATGTCGACCTACTCAAAATGGACGCTAAAATTTTTTGACACAACTTTGAGCTTCTTCACTGTCCACTCTCTCAGCCACCGTGTTGCTTTGTAAAACACAGCTCCCTCCAAATAACAGCCACACAACAGCCCCCACACACACAGCAGCAGAAAACACATCCACCTACAGCTTAAAGACCTTTTTCACAGCAGCCATTTTGATGTGAAATAGGGTAAAACAGGCTGCACGGCGGCTGTTTGGACCTGAACGCAACGCAAACTTCTGCATCTTCTTTAAATCTTCACTTAACATGATTTAATCTCGTGAATAATCACCACTAACTGTTGTTTACAGCGTTTACGTGTAAACATCCACACAAACAAACACACAGATCGATCCCACAATCCTTTGCGGGCTGCGCCGCCGTCTTACAGACGTCGGCGTTTCTATCTCGACGTCGTTCTTGTGTTTGAGCTCCTGCGTGTGTGTGTGTGTGTGTGTGTGCGATACCCTGCGTACTGTACGTGTACCTGGCCCAGTGACAGTGAAACTCACCTGTGTTTACCCTACTGTTTAAAGCCAAGCGGCTGCTGTGAAAAAGGCTGTATTTGAGCTTACTTGTTTGTCAGTGAGGGCTGTGATTCTGGTTTGCCTGTCGTGCAGCTGTCTCTTAAGCTCGCCATCCTACAAATGGAACAGAAACATCGTCAGTTGGATCTTTATTATTGATTGTTGACCATCAGAATCACACACACGCTGAATCCGACGCTTAAATAAACACCTACGGACGTGTGTAAACATAAACAACAACATTTGTAGATGGTGAGGAAACAGTGCAGTGGTGCAAAGGATGCTGGGATTCATCTTTATGTACAGGAGCTGGGTGGATGTGTTATTAGTGATTATACGGATGTGTTTTAAAGAGAAAACTGACTTTAAACAGTGAAAATAAAGAATAATAACGTGTAGACAGTAATACATCTGTGTGTATATGAGCTATATGACAGTGTGTCTGCGTGGATGTGTTGTTAGAGATGATATTTATGTGTTATAAAGAGACTTTAAACAATAAAAATAAAGCATAATAACGTGTGTGGACAACAGTGCAATGGTGCAGAGTGCAAAGGATGCTGGAGTAGATGGAGCTAATGACAGTATGCATGCACAGAGGAGTCTTTAGTGAGGATATTTATGTATTTTAAAGAGTAAACAGACTTTAACACAATGCAAATAAACAACAAACAACGAAAGTTAACAGCACACAGCAAAGTCACGATGAAGGCAGCTGGAAAAGCTGCAAAAGCCGAGCAGGAAGATGAGATTTCTGCTGATAAAGTTTCTCCCCAACACTCCCCCATAAATCCGCCTGTGAATGTGAATAAAGCTGAGGAGGCTGAGAGGGATAAATACATTTACCTGTGGGTCCTGCTTCATCTGTGCAACTAGTTTGCCAAACGATGAAGAGATGTGATGTGCAGGTTGGAGGAGTGAAATGGGAATTTACAAAAAAAAGTGTCTCAAGTTAGTGTGTAAGGGAGGAAACAAAGCGGTGGTGATAGCCACTCTTTGCACCTCATAAATATTCAGGTCGCGTCCTGATCGCCACACAGCAACCAGCACCAGCACCGCATTATCTCTGCAAATTCCCCCGGAAAACACACACCACAACCCGGCTACAAAGTGCAGCGGAAAGTGGACTTAATGCGGCTGCAAGTGGCGGTTGTGTCGCCGGCAGACGTTATAAACCCACACCGACATGTCGCATAGTTCTCCCCCTCGGAGTGTTAACCTCTCATCCCTTCACATTCTCCCCCTCCTGCTCTCACTTGCTCAATAAGGGTAGAATAACACGATGTTTCATTTACCTGATGACATTGGATTTCTACTTTCAACGCCTCTTGCAGGCCTTGTAGTTCCATGTTCCGACCAGAAAAGCACTTTTCTCCCACTTTCGACGCGGCCGAGACGAAGTTTAAGTGAATTAAAAGATTTTTTAAAGCGACAATAACAATTGAAAGAAGAACTACTCGGGCTGCAAAAGCAAGTTCTCGCTTCTTTTTACAGGCTAGGACTCATCACCCACTTTCCGCCCGTCTTCAAAAGTGCTCCAAACCCGGCGGAAAGAGCTCAGGCCCCGGCGCGGCTCCTCTCCAGAGTACGGCCGAACGACGAGGGGTCCGACGGGGAAGCGGGTTCGCTTTTCTTTCGATAATTTTAAGTTGAAAAACGGGGACTATATTTTGTCCGAGTCCGCGGTTTGATTTCACTTTGCCTGGGGAAAAGTTGCGCTTCGGCTGTCAATGGTAATTCTGAAGTTCCCGGATGGAGCAGAGAGTGCACATGCGCAGTGGGGCCCAGGGAGCCACAACTACTTGAGAGTATTTGTGATTAAAAGCAGATTTTACACTTTTACAGACTCTTTAATTAAACTATACACATAATAATGTTATTATAGAGCCTGGACTTTAATGAAAGAGTTATTCTTTATTCATTTATAGTATGAGAAGCCCAAAAAAATAATAATAAACATGTGATATAACTGATAATCTTAGTCATAATAATCCCAAATATGCACAAAATGAAAAATATCATTTAATCTGAAAACAAAAATCCATTAATTTGTACATATAATGAACATATACATATAGACTGCGCATAGTTTTACATACATACATATATTATTCCTTAAACACATATTATAAATATTCATACTGTATATTTATAACCCTGTCTATACACTGTATGTCCTCTAATCTACACTGCTGTATATATTTTTGTCCTGTGTGATTATTTATTGTTACACAAGGCCATAACCTCCTGCTGTGACCTCTGCAATGTCCCTTATCAATCACATCTGTATATAAAAAGCTGTATATAGAGTACATATAACTCTTATTCTATTTAATCTATTTCTATCGAATTTTTCATTATATCTTGTATTCTTTTTATTTAATGTGTATTTTCTTATCTGGAGCTGCTGTAGTGATTAAATTTCCCCAGTGTGGGATCAATAAAGTCTCTCTTATCTTATCTTATATTGTATAAAGTAACTAAATACATTATTCAAGTATTTAAATGCAGCTTCCAGGTGTCTAATATTCACCTTATTTTGTATCTCTGTTAGAATTTAATATAAACTTACTACATAACATGAGTTTGTAATGAATGATCTACTGGGAGCTGTTGCTTGTTAACAGATATTTTTACTCAAATATAATGTTTTTCATAATGTTAACACAACAGTAAATAAATCATAAATACTCAGTGAGGGAGCCGACATGTTGATGCAACTTAAAAATAGCTTATTCTTCCCATCTAAGAAGAAACTAATCATCGTGTTGTATATTTACCATCACTACACACTTTAAAATAACATTTTTCTTTCCACACATGCATGAAACAGCAGATAGTGGTTAAATATTAGTATATTTCCATCTTAACTTCTGTTTCTCTACAGTTTAAATTCCTAATTCTGCCATATTTTATGAATCACACGATGTCATACTGACTTTATTGGAAGAGGAATGTGGTATTAATCATATAATCTTAGCAAAAACAAGCCTGGTTCTGCAAGTCATGCTACACAGGCCCATTGTTACTCCCTTACACTTCCATTAATTCAACTACAGACTTTATCAGCAGTATTTGAGTAAATCTTTCCTCCATTATCTGAGACTGTAAAGTCATTTCCAGCATCCAGACTTTTTGTAGTCAGTACTGTTTTCTTTCCATAATGTTATTTATTTTACATTTGCTTGTCATCATTCAACCAAATGTAAAGTATCATTTATAATAGGGCTGCGGCTGAGGATTACTTTCATTTTTTATTCATTTTCTCGATGAATCACTGTTTAATCTTTAAAATATCATTAATTAGTGCAAAATCTTTATTCTTTCTTTTGTGTTTTGATGACTCACCTCATTCATTTGCATTACAAACTTATAATCCAAGTTATTCTTGAACTACTGTCACCAGTAATGTAGCTTTAAATGAGCTCAAACTGCTGCGATGAGACATCTAACATTATTTATCTGCTCTGGATTTCCAGCTTTCACAAGAAGAAACAAACATGGCAGCAGCAGCCTCCTCATACAATCACAACTAAGTAAGACAGACAAGGAGAATGTGGGGGGCTTACAGGATATAAAATATGTCGATACATAAAAAGCCTCCAACCAAATCTGCCCAGTTGTAGTTTTTACCTCTTCAAACACAAAGAGGCCAAATGTGGCAGTTTGTTCTCAGAAATCCAGCCTCTCTTTTCTCCCCCATTTCTGTCAGTCTGACCCCCGCCGCCTCCTCCTTCTCCTCCTCCTCTTCCCGCCCTTCGGACACAAGCAGCGCCGCTATTGGTCGAAGCTGCTGGTTCAGTGCGCGAGGGACTGGGAGGGGGCGGGAAGGGTGAGCCAATCAGGAGTTGCGACCGTTGAGCGACGCCGCGGGGAACCAATGAGCGGTCTGCGGGGGGGCGGGGCTGCGGGCGAGAGTATGTGATCTGAGAGTTGATGAAGAGCAGAGATGGCAGATAGTGTTTGAATTTATTGTTAACTCGACAGCGAACAACTTCACCACAGTTTTAAGCACAAACGAGCTCAATGTGAGCAGAAAATGTCGGTTAAATGTGTGTTTATGAATGTTTTGAGTTGAGATAACAGCCCTCATTTTGACGGCGGGAACAGAAAGTAGCACCATGGACAGAGGCAGCAGCTCCAGGGACTCACAAACGGACATTACAATTCTTTCGACGCCGCTATGGAGCCGTTTGTTCCTGTCGGCGGTGTCACCAGCCTCCAGCTACACTCCACTGTGTTTATTATCAACACTTAAATCCAAGGGGAAACTCCCCGAGCCAACAGCCATAAATACAGGCCTAAATTCTACATAAACCCCCACAGTAAAGTTGTAGTTGGTAGTCAGCTTGCAGCGTTGACAGAAAGTAGTCCCTCCCTCGCTCCCTCCGCCCCTCCGCTGAAACCCTCCCCCACCCGGCCAGGTCTGCTGCTACATCAGCTGCTACTTTTCATTTCACGGCTCAGCGGTGAAACTCTTGAAGTCTTCTCTGTGGTGGCTTTCGATGCCAAGCTGCTGCGAGTTTTAAGCTGTTCTCGCTCTGAATGGACACAGACTGTAGATATAAAGTGCTGCCTCCATGTTACTGTTTGTGGCTTTTATTATCTAAGGGTTGTGTGTCTCCAGGGCCGGAGCCAGAATATAAAACAGGTCCAATCCAAGTCCCCCAATGTCCCCCCGCCACCTGTATTTGTCTTTATTTCTTTGTTTCTGCAAATAAAATGTCTTTATTTAAGTTTTTTTTATAAGCAAACATAAGAAAAAATGCACACTGTAAAACAGATTTGTTCTGTAATTTAATTTAATATATGGAAATATTAGTAAAATTACAAAGAAAGAACAACAAAATACCTGTTTTTTTGTACGTTTTCTGAAACTAACCCTCAAAAAATAATTCATTAGATGAACTCAATTCAACTTTGGGCAGTTTTTCCAAACAATTAATATGTGTAGCCCCAACTTAACCTAATTACATCCATGCAATTTAATTTAAGTGAGTTAGTTCGACTCATTTTAATGACATACAGCTAAAATAAAATAATCAGAATCAGAATCAGAATTAGAAATACTTTATTAATCAAATTCCTTAAATAAACATTAACTTTAACATTACTTTTGTCCAACTCAAATTAATATATTAATATAATTAAAAATTAAATATGAATTAAAGCTTGCTTTCAACATACACCACCTGTCCAAAAGTTTGTGGACACCTAAACATTGCAACCATGTTTAATTACACCTTTATTGTTGTTATTAATTAACACCTTGTTCATTAATGTGCTGCTCAGAATTAGATTTTGTTTTTATTTTTGTTTTTAATTCAGTTTACTTTCATGTAAATCAGATGTAAAGCTTACTTCCTGTTGCCAGTAGGTGGCGCTATATCCGAATATTAAAAAAAAATAAGTTTCGCATAAGTTTGGGGCCGATAGGACAGAGTACTCTCTAGTTACAGCAACTTCCTGTTTCACGGTGAAACGTTACAATTAAACGCCACGAACACGCCGTTCTGCAAAAAACTTACGATTTTGACAACTTTTCATCGTGAACATCTTTAATTAAACTTCCCATATTTTAATGTCAATGTGATCATTTCTGTAGGAAGAGTTTGTTCAAACACAACGTGAGTAAATCGCAATAAATGACAAACTGGCTGACTTCCTGTTGGGTTTGGGGTTCGGCTCCGAGAGGCTTTTTTGTACGTCTGGATAAAACACACGTGTGTACTGATTTTCATACATATTGGTGAAACTTGTCGAAGGAACCAGGACGATGCTAACCTCCTGGTTGGACTACAAAATGACATCATCACTGCAGCGCTCTGTATCATCATAAAATCATATTGTTTACACTCATTTACATTTCACTTTTTAAAGTAGCAGGTTCGTTACTTTCCTCTGTTTTAATTCTCAATTATCCTATAAAGTGCAGTCAGAGGGAGATTTACAGGAACTCAAACAGATTTGATATCAGCTGGACGTTAGTTTTATCTTATAGTCAACCTCGGGCCAGGCCTGGACCGGCCATCTGTCAATACTGGCAAAACCCAGCGAAGCCTGGCCGGTCCTGGACCCAGCCTGGGTCGTCACTCACAGGAAACGTTTAATGAGGAATATTTGGACAACAGAAAACGTCCAGCAGGCTGCTCGACTGGCTGCAGCAGCACATTTACACAACTTTTATTTTGGTGGTTTGTGAGGGAGGCTGCCACAAAAAGCCTCAGACGCACGAGCGCCCCTGAATGCAACACCACAAAATGGAGTGAACTACTAACGCACAACAGACTGAAGTATTCTCAGCTTGTGTATCGTTAAATGTGACTATATATATGTTTCTTATCTTTTAACCATCTTTAAAATGTGGTTGTCTTGTCCAACATAGATTAGCTTAGCACGTAGCATATCTGTGTACAGGAAAGGAGGAAGTCGACCGAGGTTTGCTCAACTGTTACTGGAGCACAGAGTAAAAAGGGGCGGGGCTTAGGAAGGGTCAATTAAGAGGCATCACCTAAAAAAGGATACGAGGAGGAAATGTAGAATGATGATTTAAACTCGCTCCATCCCTCCGGCTCTTCTTTCACCTGCTGGTAAACATGTTTTCACACAGTGAGTCTGTGCGTCGGTACTGAGCGCGTGCAGACGGCAGCAGGGTTGACAGTTAAATGTGGCCTAATATGAGCGGAGACACTCCATCACTGAAGTGGTGCTCTGACATTTTTAT